AAGCATGGGCATGGTCGTAGTCAAATCAGTGAAAATTGCAATGTATGGAACCCTGCTGAGAGCTATCAATAAACCGTATGTAGACGTCACATAAGCACACAACAAACGTCACATTTCCACAACGGGAAAAGGGTTGCCTTCGATACGGAACCAAACAAGCCAACAGTAGGAGGGTGAAACAGCGGCAACATACCTTCAAATTTATTTTCAATTTATTATAAGAATTAAGACATCACGAAAGGAATGAAATACCTGTACACAAGGACAAAAGGAAAATAGGAAAAGTACATACATACGTATATGCCTGTGTACATATGTTTGTGAAAATCCGGCAGTGACACCCAACGACAAGTAAATAAATACTTTGATTAATTATTTAGAAAACTGAGCGTTTAAGCAGGTGTGCGCGAAGCGTCTGCTGTCTTGATTATTGAAAACGGAAGAAGCCACTTTTGAGTGACGCTCTTCGGGAATGTTGGTGATAACTTTACATTGATGTTAATAAATTAAATTCAGCTAAATTAATCTGCATAGTGAGAGTTGGTTAAGGAATTGAAAATCTTGAGACTTACAGAAGCAAATGGTTAAACAAACAAGTAAATTTTAAGCAAAAAACAAAGCCGACTTTAAATCTCATATAAAAATTTAGGAGTACCGTTAATTTTTGCATGATCCTATGATCGGATCTGAACCAGATTAAAATGGGACCACCTCTGAGACACTACCTTTCCGATGCAAAAAGAATTTTCGAAATCGGTTGACGTGGTGCAAAGTTATGCGGTAACATACATAAAAAAAATATTCCGACGAATTCATAACCTCCTCCTTTTTTGAAGTCGGTTAAAAAGTATAATAGTCCTGCACAATCGACCATGCTAGAAATTGTACCGATTAAGGATAGCAAATTGCCCTCTCCGCTTAAACCAGCTCTAATTTGAAATAGAGCAAATACTCGTAGAAAGAATGCATTTTAGTACAGCATAGACAGTACGACCGGTACATTTTATTCAGATCCGGTTATTGAACGCCCGCACGAATAATGAAATACGGTACCCCTCTTTTCACTCACGCTTTTGGCCAAACAGTAAATTTTACTAAAAAGAAAAATAATAATTTTCTCTGCCAGAGAGTAACACAAAGGGAAGCTAGTGGGAATAGAAACAAGTAATTTTTAGCAAAAAAAAAACCGACTTCAATTCTCATATAAAACAAGTAATTTTTAGCAAAAAAAAACGTCTTCAAATATATATATATATCTATATATTTCATGATTCAATGATCGGATTTAAACCAAATTAATATGGGACCACCACACTACCTTTCCGTTGCAAAAAGAATTATCGAAATCGGTTGACGTGGTCCAAAGTTATGCGGTAACATACATAAAAAAAAAATCTTACGAACTGATAACCTCCTCCTTTTTTGGAAGTCGGTTAATAAAAAAAAAATATATATATATATATACATATCTCATGATCCAATGATCGGATTTAAACCGGATTAGTATGGGACCACCTCTGCGGTAACATACATAAAAAAAAATATTCCGACTAACTGATATTTAACCTCCTCCTTTTTTGGAAGTCGGTTAAAAAAGCCATTTACTTGTCGAATTTTATTTCGAGGATTTGTTCAACGATGTTCAAAATCATTATATTTAGAAATGAGCGAATAAAATAAAAGAACAATTTTGAATATTGCCCGAACAACTTTTGTTGTACATTTCCACAATTGAATTGGAAGCCGTAAAGACGTTAACCAGATTTGAAGATATTTTTAACTACTAACCATGAGTCAATGTCAGTGTTGCCAGTTTAGATTTAGCCGGAAATATTCCTGTTCAGCTTCTAGCTTTTTTCTTAGCGTTTTCTCAAATTTATTTAGTTAAATTCTTTTATATGTTTATAAGTAAATAGTGGCTTTGATACAGTACTCCATGAACTTACAGGTTTTTACACGAACTTGCAGAAAGTTACAGAAAAAATGATCCCGTAATCCAAATTCCTCCAAAATCCTGTAAATAAGAGCGATTTTTGGAGAGTTGTGTAAAGAATGAAGTTGCAAGATTTTACCCGAACTTTTTCTTCTGGTAAAATGATGAAAAGTGTCAAGCGATCACTGGTTGACCTTTTTACAGGAAAAATGTTTTTTTGTTCCCGTACTTTTTGTTGTTACTCACTTTTTACTCTCACTTCAGAGAGCAATTTTGCTGTATGACATTATTACAGGATTTAACACGAAAAGTATTGGATCAGAGCTAGTGTTAAGATTTCTAAAAGCCTGATAATGGCAAATTAACATAACTTAATGGAACGTGGAACTTAGAGAATCAAAATGGAACAGATTTCGACGTGACATTAAGTTACGTTAAGTTTCGGCTGTTCAAATATAAGCAACACCCATTTAGCAGAATTTTTAAGAGAGAGCCGTAAGTTACGTTAAGTTGCCATAATCAGACCATAAGGCGGGTTAAGTGTTGCGTATTGAATAAA